TGAACCTGCCAGGGTGTCCTGCTGGAAATCTGGTCTTATAGGTCGTTGACTACTTCTTGCTGATCCCACCCTCTCTGCCATGTCATTGAACTTATGTGGCCTGTATTGGGTCCTCCTGTTCTGCTGCTTGAGACCTCTGCCTTCTAAGCGCCCCTTCTGAATTGTGCCAGTCTTTCCAGCGTGTACACGAGCAATTTATCTCCGCTACATTGCCTCCCACTAGCCATACCCTTGCAAATTTAGCTTTGATTTCCTGCTGCAGGTCCAGATCATCCTGCATAGAATGCTTTGTTTTCTGCCACTTGCAAAGAATCTCAGCCTGAAACGGCGACCTTGTAAGCCGCTGCTCTCTCTTGGAGTGGAAAGGCCTTCAAGAGTTCTTCTGCATCGTTCCTTCCATATAGACCAGACTGTCACCTTCCTGATCCTAACGAACCAGACCCTCTCTGTCTTCCAGAAGTGGGCAGAGATGTTAGTCCATAGGAGGAGTTGGGTGGGGTGTTCGGGGAAGGGGGTAGGGAAAAGAGAGTCCCAAAAGGTTGGATGCCCTAGCCCAGTACTCCATCACCTCTCTACAACGTATTAGACAGTGTATCATGTCTTCTGGTTCATTGTCCCAGCATACCACGCGTAAGTCTGAGCTGCTAGGATCGGTCTTCCTTCTTCTGATATGCAAACAATGGGTTGACTGGCAGAGCCACGTAGGAGATGAGCCATTGGAGGCTCCTGATTTTGACAGGCTGCTGAGGCTGGATATTTTTCCATTCGTACTTCTGATATCTGATTGGCATTCTGACCAATTAATTTTAGCCAGCTGTTCTTAGTTGTGGGATCAGGATCCTTATTCCTAAGCAGTAAGTTGTTCCCATTTTAACTATGTACAGTGTACTCATGCATGTGTACAGCCGTTCTAATGTTCTTACTTCTGCCTGGTGTCCAGGCTCATTCTGCCGGATCAAATTCCGAGTCCCCGAATTGCGGTGTCATTTTTTCAAATTGTTTTCGGCCATGCCCCCAACACTCTTACTTCTTTTAGTACAAACGGAATGAGTACTTCTAGCTCCACGTCTTTGTTTAGGATGGAGGGGGAGCCGTGCGCTGTAGGAGTAATTGGAGAAGAGTCTGAAGAGGTGAAAACCGCCAGGGCGTCTGATCCCTGCTGCTTGTGGGAGAATTGGAAGGCCCTTGTGGGTGCTGTTTCCCGAACCAGCACTCCACGTTTTTGTTTAGGATGGAGGAGGAGCCGTGCATTGTAGAGTAACTGGAGAAGAGGCGAAACAGCCAGGGTGTCTGATCACTGCTGCTTGTGGGAGAATTGGAAGCCCCTTGTGGGTGCTGTTTCTTGAACCAGCACTCCCCGGTCCCCAGATTTCCATGTAAGGTCTTCTTTCAACAACTCCTTCCAGCCTTCTGGGATGCATTTGATGATAATTTGGAAATTATCGTCGAGTCGGTGGCATCCCTTGAGGCAGGAGGCGAGCTCCTGCTCTGAAAGCCAGTCCTTTTTCTCCTCATCCCAAATATGGCTCACTTTCCATACTCCATTAATCCATGATATACATCTCCTTCCCCCTGGCTTGTGAGACAGTGGGTGATCCCTTTCGTCTCTCACCCACAGTACTATTCCAGAAGAATTCCATGATGTAAATGGGCACTTTGGCCAGCAAAAGACTACACTATGTTATGTGGGCAGACATGAAATTTGACTGTCTTACGTACATCAGGGGATGCATGGTATCCCAGCTGAACGAAACTACCACCCCGGCACCTCTAGACTTACTGAGACTACTGCCTTCTCCCTTAGGCCCCAGAGAGTTGGTTTCCATAGACCTCATGGATACTAAAGTGAAAAGTACAGCAGGGAACAGTCAAGTTATGGTGGTGGTTGACAAATCTAGTCAGCATTCTAAGTTCAAACCCCTGCCTGCGCGAGCTAAGACTGAGCTAGTCATCAAGAGGTTCTTTGCTCATTGTTTAAGTCGTCCGATAAACACCCTGGGACGAAAGGACAGACAGTACAGATGAATAAGCTGCTGCAACAGACTTTGTGCATGCATATTAGACCTGAGTCACCTGACCAGATTGAAGTGGGACACCAAGTTACCGAGGGTAGGAAGCACTCACGACAACTCAGTGCACCTCTTAGCAGCCAGAACGCCCTTCGAGTTACAAAAGGGGTGGAGACCACACAGACCTAGAGATAGTCTAAACCCAGATCAGACAACAATTTGCCCTGATGTATGAGAAAGATATCAGGAAAGCGACGGAAAACATTGGACACACCCAGCGTAAGATTATAGAAAAACAGGCTAATAAGCAATGCCCGAAGAAGATCTTTCTCAAAAGCTGCTAGCCGCATATGGTGGACCTTTAGGCAGTGTTCGATATAATAGGCAGAGATGACGGACCTTATTTCGAAGATGTCCCTCACATGAGAGCCTACCCTTGTGTTTCATGCGTCCAAGTTACCGCCTTGCATGCGAGATGAGTTCCCATCACGCAGATCAATGATACCTCCCAATATGGATGGTAGCTATGATGTGGACCACATTGTTGATCACGCACCACTCCGAAGAGGGCAAGGACCACAAGTGCTGAACAAGTGTATGTACTAGTACCAATGTCTAAAGGAAGATAGGTGGAGAGTGCTCCCAGGATAGTATCACACAATGAGCAGGCTTGCAGAAGTGCTAGACTGGCCAATAAAGTTGCAGCCTTTATTAGAGGACCTCGAAACTACGCTGGCAGGAGTGAAATGGTAGCAATCCCAGTTCCAATCCGGAGTCCCGGTTCCAGACCCAGTCCCGGTCACCTGTAATGTATCCCCGCGTCGTAGGTAGGTTAGTTGTCGAGTAGGCCAACATAGGAAGATTCCGGTAGGTCCCTGTAGACTTACCAAAATCTGTAGAAGTCGGTGAGTCGGTCCAGTTGAGACTGAAGTCCCAGGAAAGTCCGCAAACTTCTAGAAGAACCAAACATCTGCAGGGTACTGACCTATACCCGGTAGTGAAAGTCCAGAAGGCAATCGTCGAGTACAAAAGTACAGTTGCTGAAGTTGACAACACATATGCACTTCATGACCAGGCGGAAGCGCTGCAATGCTATTTCGGGATACTCTGCTGTGCCCTGTTAGGAGGAAGTAGTCAATGACGCTGGGCACCAGTAGTCATAGCAAAGGTTGGGTATACGAGAGAGTGAGCGACTGTGAGAGGCATTCAGAGAGATGCGAGAGCTTAGAGAGAGAAAAGCTTGAGTGGATAGAAAGAGAGACCATACCTGAGAGAGCTTGCCTGGCGGCCATAGCTGCCCATATTGTAATTGAGTTGATTGGCTGAGTCTGTACTCGAGTTCCATCTCACGTGTGTTTCTTGTGTGTGCATCTGATCTTGTGCGCATGGTGTGAAGGGGCATGCATAATTGGTCTCAAAGCAAATGCTTTGGCAACTATAACCTACCAAGTCACCTTCACCACCTTGAGAAAACTAAGAAAAGTATATTTAAAAATTAAAAAACAACGAGAACTACTGGTTGATTTAACTATTCTTATAGCTCATGGCTGATGTTAACGAGTTATTATTCAGTATGCTTCACAGAAGATAGCACGCAACGTGAGCACATTACGCATAGCACAGAAACCACTCTGCCCAGAGCACGTGAAGTGAGCACATCACGTGTAGCACAGAACCCCACTCTGCTCACAGCAACAATAAATGTAATAAAGATGTGGTATTTTCCAGCCTACAAACTTGTATTGGATTTGCTTAGTTTATTAGAGTGAGAAACAACAACCTAGCAAGAAAAGAGGTGAAGTAGGGGCAAGCATGATTTATCACTCTCCCCTTTCCCCCTTGGGCATCTAGTTCTGATGGCAGCCATAAAAGGAAGGGGGTGCATTGGGCCATGACAATCATCAACCCAAAACCAAACATTGATGGTATTTGTCTAGGCTACCAACCGGGCCGCCCGGGTCCCGGGTGGCCAGCCCGTGCAAGGACCAGGGAAGGTCCCAGCAAAAAAAAAAAAAAAAAAAAACAAATCCAAAAAATCCGAAAAAGAGCTGTGTTATGCAGAAAAATAAACTGAACAACTTTTGCTTCAGGGTCACACCGAAATTCTTCACCAAATTTAGAGAAAAAAAAAAAAATAGAAATAATTCTTTTTTTTTTTTTTTTTTGGCCCGGCCGGGCAAGTCACCCCGGGCCACTCTGGTAGCCTAGGTATTTGTCTAGAATCTACATAAATGGTGGAGATGGGGGAATTGTCTAGAATCTATGTAAATGGTGGAGATGGGGGAAGATTGTAACCTCACAATCCTCTTGCTGACACATCAGTCCACTTTCCCACTCCCCTAGATCCATACAAAGCACCGCACACACAAAGCAACTCTTTTTTTTTTATACCTGCTGTGCACACATTTATGTACATGCCTAAGCAAACACATACATACACCGTGCAATCTACTCCGTATTACTGCATAACTGTGCGGCACGTTAGAAATAACTGGCCAAATGTATCTGACAGTCATGAGGTGCATGACTATCACGAAGGGGAGGCCATCTCTTTGTGTTCCAAGAAAAAGGAAGAGTTCCACTTTCGTGAGCTCTGAAACTGATGGTGAGCCTGTAGCATGCTACCTGCACTCCACAACATTCAAAGACACTGTAGAGGAGCAGCAGCATAGGGTGGAGGGGCACAGTCGAGTGATGGAAGGAGGGAGGTAGTGAGAGGAAGGGAGAGCGAGCGGAGGTGATGAAGCCGGGTTGATGCTACTTTGAGGAGAGGAAAAAGAATGGGAGCTGTGGCTCGTGCTGCAAGCAGACTTTTGGCAAGCGTTTATGAACGGCACCTATCATTGTGAATGAATGTGCAATGAGCGTGCTGAAGGGGGAGGGGGAAGCAGGAAAGAAATGGATGAACTACTAAAAAGGGGAATGGAGTTGTTTTGCAAATTGAGTCACAGTCAGTCTGCAAATTCAATCATCATGAATTCGGGAACTTACTAGCTAAGGTTGCACATGGCAGGCGGACATTGATGGAAGAAGGTGCCCGATTATCCAGCTGCGACCCCAGTGCTCCTCCCATGGCAGGATTTGAACAAGGAATTGTCGTTCCAATGGTTGCTGCCTCTGATTTAAAATAACTCGTCAGGCATCCTCCCTGTAGTGTGCGCTCTCTACAGACTTCATCCATTGTCCTTGATAGTGACATGCGACTTCTCACCTGAGCACGCAACTGATTTCCGAAGACGATGCAGAGTGAGTCTCAAAGCAAAATATGGAATCATCAATTGACTTGTGTTCTGGAGTTGGAACTTGTTGATTGCTCTGTACACCCAGAATCCAGATAGGCTTAATAGGATTTACGTTGCTCGCGTAAACATAAATCTTGGGCTTATGAAAATGTGTGAAGCGATCACTTCAAAAAACAAGTGACGGAGTGTTGTTTTCTGGTGCCTTTCTTTCGATCACTTGGGATACACTAATTTCTCCCATTGAACGTACGTCATTTTCATTCATAGGTTGCACTTGATTAGCATTCAAACTATTTATCATTCTATCACACCATTCCAAAAAAACATGGACACCAGCACTTCGTAATTGTGAATTTTTTTTTCGCCAGAGTCGCCTGGTTTAGGAAGCCGCAGCAACTTGTCCCTCCACAAACTCACCTGACCGCATCCCGTTTGTAACTTAAAAACATTTGTGGGAGTTCTTCACTGCGGGTATCTTCAACAGCGTTGAATAAGTCATGTCCATTTCATTGTGGAATTCTACAACATCTCATTTATTTGACATATTGATTGTACGAGTGACTAGTTCATATGGTAACTCAAACGGTCACCCCAAAAAAAACAAATAAAATTATAAAATAGACATAAGGATTGGACATGGGAGGGCGATCGGACGTGGGGCTTAGCTGGTGCCCCCCAGCTCCCCCGGGCCCCTGACCCTCAGCCCTTTGTAGAAGAGAGATGTGGGACGCTGGACCCTGTTTCCAGCCCAATGTTTTTTCCCAAGAATGAACTTTTCTCAGCGTTTAAGGGGAAGGGAGGTGGTAGGAACAGGAACAGGGAAGGGCTAGAGGAGGGGAGGTTCCAACTGGTGCCCCCCAGTGGTCCCTCTTGTCTTCAACGATCCCCCCTCTTTTTGGCGGGTAGGTGGGCGGATGGGCCGGGGGAAGGAGGGTCAGTTTCCCTGGGCATGATGTCTGCTAGCATTGTCATGACAAAGTCGGCATCCTAAAGAAGGATGAAGAGGTAGATGTTCCCCAGTAGCCGTACGGGGTATGGGACGCTGGACCCAGTTTCCAGCCTTTGTTTCTGTCTGCAAAGTGCTTTTTCTCAGAAGTACCCTGTTCAGCCAATCCCCTGGCATCCAGGGTAATCAATGCTGGCAGGGGAAGGTTTTCCAAATGTTCCAAAAATAAAAAAAAAGGGGCTAGAGGCTGGAAAGGGAGGCAGAAGGTTGCCTATATGGGCATGGCTGCATGGGAACTTCAGAGAGGCAACTAACCTCCCTTCTCTCTCTCTCTCTCTCTCTCTCTCTCTCTCTCTCTCTCTCTCTCTCTCTCTCTCTCTCTCGTGACGGGGGGGGGGGTGACCCCAGGGATGGTAGGGAGCATCTCGAGGGGCCCCATTTTTTTTTGTTTTTTTTTTTTACACAATTTTGCCGTCGAAAAAAGAGAGAAAAAAAGAGCAAAATCAAATGAATCTACCGCTAGAACATGGAAATATACACTGCCACACTCTGTGTCTGTGTGTGTGTGTGAGAAAAAGAGAGAGAGGGGGTAAGTCTCCAACCTCGCGGCTGGCATCGTGGTACATCCATCGAATGGATGAGCAAAATCGAATGAATCTACCGCTAGAACATGGAAATATACACTGCCACACTTGTTTTCGTGTGTGTGTGTGTGTGTGTTTGTGTGTGTTTGTGTGTGTTTGTGTGTGTGTGTGTGTATTCACGGGAGGGAGGCGACCCCCCCACATCAAATCAATCAATCAATCAATCAATCAACAGAAAAAAGGGGCATTTTGTGGCGTGCGCGCGCACATGTGTGTGTGTGTGTGTGTGTGTGTGTGTGTGTGTGTGTGTGTGTGTGTGTGTGTGCGTGTGTGTGTGTGTGCACGCGAGGGGGATGTGACCCCCACGTAACCAATCAATCAATCAATCAATTTATCATTCTTTTGCATGGATTTTCTTTTCTTTTTTCTTTTCTTTTTTATTGTTTTTTTTTTCTAGTTTACAATCAAAATCAATCAATCAATCAATCAATCAATCAATCAATCAACTAATCAATCAATCAATCAATCAACTAATCAATCAATCAATCAATCAATCAACCAATCAATCAATCAATCAATCAATCAATCAATCAATCAATCAACCAATCCACCAATTAATCAATCAATCAATCTTTTTTTTTTTTTTTTTACACCCGGAGTCCTGATCTAAAAAAAAAATATTTTGCTCTTTTTCTTTTTTTTTGAATGGGGGGGTACCCCCCAACACCCGACCCCCTCCAGCCCATCCACCCCCTCAACACCCCCAGGAAGGCCACGTACAGAGGGTCAGAAGTCCGTACGTACGGGCCGTACGAGCGCTGAGGGCCTGTACGTTCGTACGGGCCATCCCCGTACGTGGTGACGACACTGCTTTGGAGCAACATTCGTGGAATCATGACTGAAACGCATTTAAAACTGAAAACCGTGACTGCGCCCTAGTTTTTTCTTTTTTTAAGGGCGACAGCCTTGCCATACTATCTTCGAACGGATCCGACCCAGGTAAATTCAGAGTTGCATTTTTCAAGTTTCAACCGTATGATTCCATTGGGATTTGAACTCAGGTATGCATTTCAACAGTACATGGGTGTACCAACTAAGTTTGGCCAGTTGAAACCCGACCAACTGGATGGATGCATGGCTGGCTGGATGGATAGGTAGATGGATAGATGGAGATGGATGGCTACAGATGGACAGATGCATCCATGGTCTGATGTATGCATTCATCCATGCATCTATGGATGTACGAGTGGATGGATGGATGCATCCATGGGCGATGCATAATATGGATGCATGCATGGATGGATATGGATATGGATGCACGCATGGATGGATTGAATATGGATGCAAGCCATACACGAGTGGCTGCATTATGCATGCTTGTATGTCTCCATATCCATCCACGCATGGATGCATAGACGTCTTTCTTTCTTTCGTTACACAGCAAGCTCTGAATCAATCCATCCACCACTGTAACAGTAATCTCCAACGATGCTTTTTTTATGAAGCAATTTTTCCTAGTTGACTCCATACATGGAGTATATCTAGTCGACTATGGCCTGACAGTGTACTTGTTCACTAATCAAACCCATCTCCCCCTCCTCCCCTCCTGTTGTTGCTGCTGATGCCATTGTTACTGCTCATGTAGCTGAAATAAAAATCAACGCGAGGTCCCATCAGTGAGGAGCATTAACTTGGCCATTCCAGCCAATGGATCAGTTATCAATCGATCCACACACTTGGCATATCGATCAGTCGTCGGTCGATCCGCCAAAGAAGGTGCGTCATACACGTATGTTTGCAGTCAATGACTGCTTCGTTTGATTGTCCTTCCCTCCCTTTCCACATCAGATGATCTGCCAAAGAAGCCAACAACAGCTAGCCATACACGTATGCTCGCAGAGTCGCAGCTAATGGGCCTCGCTCCACTACTCTCGACATGCACAAAAGACAAAAATCATGGGGGTGTATCTTTTCCATGTTCTAGCAGAAGATTCACTCTCGTTTTGCACATTTCGAGAGTTGTGGGGCGAGACCCATTGACTGCATTGTTTGATCGTCCTTCCCTACCTTCCCCACATCAGACCTCAATCTATAGACGGTCCTTCGCTCCATTTCGCACAGCAAAGATCTCAATCGATTAACTATAAATAGATCCATGATCTCAATGACTTATCCATAAATAGATCCAAGAGCTCAACAACTTATCTGATAACTTGTCTAAAAATAGACCCAGGAGCTCAATTGGCCATCCAAAAATAGATCGAAGAGCTCAATCGGTTATCCCTAGGTCTAGTGGACAAGGCCATACGCACAATTGGACTTTCTCGATTGAATCTGCCGTACTTGCCGTCCGATACGTCCTAGACAGTGCTAATGCCAATATGCCCCGAGTTACCTTCGTACAAGTTTCTTCACCAATCTACACCAAGATGCAAATCTGTTACGTGCAGTTGATGCCTCGTCCTTTGTCCTTTTTCATGTCATATCCTGCCCCTCCTCAAGTCGAAGCTCAGTTTCCGCTGGGCAGCATCCCCACGTATGTCAACAATTCAATCTCTCTCTCTCTCTCTCTCTCTCTCTCTCTCTCTCTCTCTCTCTCTCTCTCTCTCTCTCTCTCTCTCTCTGTGTGTGTGTGTGTGTGTGTGTCTGTCTGTG